CAAAATGGTGTTGCTGAACGCAAGAACCGTCATTTATTGGAAGTCACCCGTGCCCTATTATTTCAGATGAATATTCTCCGATATTTTTGGAGTGATGTTGTTCTTACTGCTTGTCATCTTATTAATCGTATGTCATCCTCTGTGTTACATGAGCAAAGTCCATATTCTGTCATTTTTCCTAGTAAGCCTTTATTTTCCCTGACTCCTAAGATTTTTGGATGTGTCTGTTATGTTCACAATTTGGGTCCTGAGTTTGACAAACTTGACCCTCGAGCTACCAAATGTGTATTTCTTGGTTACTCCCGCACGCAGAAGGGGTATCGTTGTTACAGTCCTTCTTTGCACCGATACTTTACTAGTGCCGATGTCACTTTTGAAGAATCTATTCCATACTTTCCAGCACCTTCTCAGCCTTTGGATCTGGACTTTGAATCATCTCCTATACTACCATCTCTTTCCTCATCTTCAGACATTCTGCCACCTAATGTGTTACCATCTACTTTACCTCTCTGTGTCTACTCCCGCCGTCCTCGCCCATCGACTGAGGTGCCCGTACCGTCTTCCTTGTCGCCTTCTGATCCTAGTATATCAGGTAATTTAGACTCTTTACCTATTACTCTTCGCAAAGGTACTCATTCGTATGTTACTAATCTTCCCATTTCTCATTTTGTTTCGTATGATGCCTTGTCTCTTGTCTTCTCCTGGTTGAAGAGGTATACATGGAGCAGCCACCTGGGTTTACTGCTCAGGGGGAGTATAGTAAGAGTGTATGTCCGTTAAAGAAATCTTTGTATGGTTTGAAGTAGTCACCTAGGGCATAGTTTGGTAAGTTTTCAGATGCAGTTTTAGAGTTTGGTCTTCTTCGATGTCAGACAGATCATTCTGTGTTTCATAGACAAACATATGTTGGATATGTCCTATTGGTGGTCTATGTAGATGATATTGTGATTACTAGGAATGATTCTGAGGGGATTGTCAAGTCAAAAATATTCTTACAAGATCGATTTCATACTAAAGATTTGGAAAAACTCAAGTATTTCTTGGGTATTGAGGTGACTCGATCTAAATAGGGTATTTGTTTATCCCAGAAGAAATATGAATTTGACATGCTTGAGAAAACAGGTTTACTGGGTGGTAAACCGATTGATGTTCCTATAGATCCGAATCAGAAATTATTGATGGATGATGGTGCATTGTTTGAGAATCCGGGTCGGTATCGCAGATTGGTTGAAAAGCTTAATTATCTTACTATTACTTGACCGGATATTTTCTATGCAGTCAGTATAGTAAACCAGTTCATGGGGTGTCCTAGAGTACCACATTGGAAGGCAGTTACTCGTATTCTGCGATATCTCAAACGAGCTCCTGGACTTGGACTGTTATATCGAGCTAATGGACATCTTAGAGTGTAAGGTCTCTCAGATGTTGATTGAGCTAGCTCTCCTTCTGATCGGAGATCAACTACTAGTTATTGTACTTTCTTAGGAAGTAATGTTGTCTCATGAAAAAGTAAGAAACAACTCGTGATAGCAAGATCCAATGCTGAGGCTGAGTATAGGGCAATGGCACATACGACGAGTGAGTTGACTTGGCTACTACACTTTCCCCAGGAAATTGGGTTTCCAATTCAACTTCCTTTACAGTTGTTCTGTGACAATCAGGCAGCTATTCATATCACTGTCAATCATGTGTTTCACCAGAGAACCAAGCATATTGAGGTTGATTGTCACTTTATTCGAGACAAGATAGTAGCCGGGGATATTACGACTCTATTTGTGAAATCTGAAGATCAGCTTGCAGATATGTTTACCAAAGCATTGAGTCGTACACGTCTTACAGCTATTTGTTTCAAGCTTGGATTATATGATATATATAGTCCAGCTTGAGGGAGAGTGTTAAGAGTATTAGGGTAGTATGTATAAATTATTAATAGTGTTAGGGTATTATGTGTAATTCTTATTATTGTAAGTTAACTATAAATACAAGTGATGTATGAGAGCTAGGTTATGTTTTTAACCTATCTCTGTTTCTCTCAAATATTGTGTTAATCCTCTAAACTTAACAGTATGCAATAATTCGCAAAAAGCTAAGAAACTCTAACATATAACCCAAGCCTATGACCCTAACAATAGCACCGAATAACAAACAAAAAAAGCACATAAAAAATGTCTATTCTACAAACCTTCCCTTTATGATGAGACAGTAAAATACACCCCTCCTACCCTTTTTAGACCCTCAAAGAATTCCAAAAATCATCAATATCTACCATCTTCCAGTCGAGCCTATCTCAATAGTCCTTCTTCCCAACGCCCAAATGGAAACTCCCACGAGATACACTTGATTGCATACAAATAGACAATTCCTTACGTACCAACAAGGATCACGATCCTTTTATACCTTGATCTATGACATTTTATCCAAAAGAAGTCCTTATCCCCATTACCCTCCATCAATTCCCATATATATATATATATATAGCTCATTAAGTGCCATCTCGACCTACAACTCTATCAACAGAGTACTTCCACAAGAGCACTTCAAAAAGATCAAGTACAGAAACACCATTTGTGGTCAGTCTTTTTTTTTCCTTTCATCCAATTAGAGAGTCCTTTTGCAAAATGAGAATGCATCTACCACCAACCTTACTAGTGCTAGGACCCCGAAAAGGAAATGAACAATAAAAATGACATGAGAACTTATAGCAAAACTGCTTTTCCAAATTTAAAGGGAGTGAACCACTCTAACCTCCAAACAAGACCTTTCCGACCACACCCAAGCGCGCCAAAACGTAAATAGTTGTTCTAATAAGTTAAGTCAATGCCCACTTCCTTTGACCTCTTCATTCGTCCTATTAGTGTAATCTAAAACCTCCACTAGACTTGTCTCTTCTCCACCTGATTAGAGGTGTAAATGAAAGCCAACAAAGACAAGAAACTGTTTACGCGAGCTTGGTTTTTGTCTTGCAACAAGTTAGTGAATGCTTGAGGTTGGAACGAGCTTGGTTGTAATTAGGAAACTTGTTGATCGACCTTAGCCAATCGTAACACAGAATAAATCGAGATCAAGTGATTTGATTTTTTGTTAAGGACAATTTTTGTTTGCATGAAATAGACTAGGATGCCAAATCGAAAAAATAAGTTGACCAGAATGTCACATGAAAAGAGAAGACTCTGACTCATCCCTTCATATTTCACACTTTGCATACCATCTTGATTGTCATGTTATGTCATGAGTTGAGGTCTATTTTCCTTAAGCAAGCAGTAACATTAATGGGTGACTTTACAATACTAAGTAAAGGGTGAGGAAATCATAATTGCATGCTTAAAGGTCGCAAGCTTTATAAGTTCCACATAGATGCTTAGGCTTAGTTTAGTTTGGATTGTTCTTTATCAATAGCTGATCAAACTCTAAATTTCAAGTTTGAACCCAAACTGCCAATCATATCAAGCAAGCCTAAACTAGGTAAAAGACAAGGTGTATTCGAGTGGAACTTAAGTTGCATATCATTAGGAGTGTTAATCGAGCCGAGCTTTGCGAGCTTGAGCTCAAGCCTAAAAAATTGTTCAACCTCAACTCGTTTAGCACTCAAGCCGTATCCGAACTTGAGCACAAGCCAAATACGAGTAACTCGACTATTTTACATATAAACAAGCTGAGTTTTGTGAGTTTAAACCAAACTTTTTAGACTCATTTTTCTAAACGAAATTAAAAAATTGTTCATACTTAGCTCATGTAGAACACAAGTCGAGCACGAGCCGAGTTTTATCTGACTCGAGCCGGAGTAGCTCATCTCGATTAACACTCCTAAATATCATTTTGCAACTCCACACCTTACATGTTTTATGTGGACCCTTTTATCTACTTGTAGCACTGATTCTTTTGTTCAATATTACCCATTCCACTCACTCTATCTTCATCTACTTGTAGCACTGATTCTTTTATTCGACATTTTGCTTTCCACTCACTATATCTTCACTCACCTATCATCATTTGAGCATTTTAACCACCAGTTTTTGACCTCCTTGAAATCCTATAGCTCCCAGCTTCTACCTTCAATGTTGTATTAGTGCACAGTCCCTCGCGTTCACAAACACATTCATACCACTTTCTTCAATTTCCTCATCCCTTTTCCTACCCAATTTTTTCCCACAATGGCTCACATCACACTTGATTGGCTAGACATCAATTTGGTCTAAACAACCCATAAAATTTTAGTACTCAAAAGTCAAATGTCACAGCCTATTTCCACTAGTTGAAATCTAACTTGGTGTGCATTACTCATAAAATAAGATAAATATCTAATTCACCTCAACATGTTCCCAATGGATTCCTCTCAAAAATGACCTTGGACTTTGTCATCCAAACACCCGCGCTATCAATCTCACTTCTACTTCATGCACTTGCAACTTAATTCAGGACTTACATAAGAAACAACCAACACACAAAAAAAAAAATAAATAAAGCCAACCATAATAATGTGCCCCATCCATCAATTCATCCAATGCCAAGCACTTTCCAGCAGTCTAATGACAACAGTACAGTCACATCTATTCTTTTCAAAGATTATCAAACTCTTTAGCAGCCAAACATTTGGAAGTTTTTTGTATGGGATACCAATTAACTCAAGCTTCCATCCCCCTTCTGCTCTATGCTCTGGTGACTTTGTTTAATAAGAAAATGTGAAAAGTCTACCAAAAGTAATCTTGTTCATCGCCCTACCAAAGGAAAGAAGTGATTGTCAAACATCCTGGTCCACTGAAGCACCAAAGGTGGCCTCCACCAAATGACCAAAAAATGGGTTTGCACTTGAATTGACGCAATGAAGTTGCAAAGAGGCAGTAGGTATCCTATCGGTTCTTCACTTTCTTTTATAATGAAAGTGGTTGTCACAGCCTACTACTTACTTTGTTCCAAAGGGAATCGTCACGGCACACGTAATGATTTGCCCCATATATGAGTTTTTCAATGCCAGTCAATTGCTATCTAAGGAGCAAAATAAATCAATGAGGAACAGCAGCACCCAACAATATCCATTCTTTCCAACAATTGTCAAACCGTTCAACTGCCAACCATTAATGGAATTTTTTCTTAAACGTAATGTTGTCATTCTCCTTCTGCCTCACACGCTTTTGGCTAGGTGTAGGGTTCAATTAGGTGACGTCTAACCTGCAAAAAGAACATTGACAACAGTCCTTAAAGCTGACAATTGCAATTTGCCACATCCACCTGAAATAAGGTTTATCACCTTCCAGCTGTCTACTTAGAACTCGGAGTTGGAAGAATAAGGGAGAAACAACATCACTCCATCTACCTCCAAGTCCCCAACAATTTTCAGAACCTTCCCCTCAATAAATTTCTACCTAATATAACTAAAGCCCCATTTGTCGTTATATAAGAGAGATCCCAAAGACTAGAAACACATTAAAACATTCCTTATATCAATGCTCAACATTCTCGTATAATGGCAAGAAAGTAGAATAGGAAATATTTAAAAACAGAAAAATATATTCGATTATACTGGCACTGAGTCATTTAATGCATCAGATAAGATATCCCAACATGCAACACCCAACATCCAGAAACCAATACACATGTTGTTCAAAACCCGATAATATCACATAAGCAGATCTCAGTCAACAGAAAACAAATGGAATGACTATTAAATTATATAAGAACGGCATAACAGGAAAAACATTGTCATACATATATGCTATATCTCATGGATTTGAAATAAACTCATATCACCACAAGAACTAAAATTATAAATCAAGCACATGCAACAAACGAGCTAAACCTAGAAATCTTAATAATCTTTAACATGCAAAACGATGATGCAAACCTAGATACTCATAAATCAACACAATGAGATAAAACCAGGATCAGGGGAAATACTGAGACAAACAAAAAATGCCCAAAACACATAGATAACTCAACAACATTTTCAAAATCATAGGACACACAACGTAATAACAAAACCAAATCCACTGTATTTCGGTATACAATCAACAACAAAATAAAGATAATCGGTTCAGTGATTGATTCAAACGCACCGTTTTGATGATCTTCATTGATTGGTGATAACTCTTCGCCAATTCCTTCTTCCTCCTCTTCTTCTTCTTCTTCATCTTCCTCTTCGACCTCTTCCTCTACTTCTACCTCCTCTTCTACCTCTTCTTCTACTTCTACCTCCTCTTCGACCTCTTCTTCTACCTCCTCTTCGACCTCAACTTCCTCTTCGATTTCTTCATATTCTTCGTCGTCATCCAGTTCAGGCTCCGTTTGTGAATCTGAGCCTTTAGTGGCGGATTGGTGGTGGTGATCGTCGGGGGGAGTGGCGGCGGAGGAAGACATTGGGGTTAGCCCCTTCGATTGCAGCCCTGGCCTGAAGGAACCTTTGATTTGTGGGTGGGGTACGGCTTTTTGGGGACTTTGAGGCAATCTGAAATAGCAAATGCCACAAATAAGTATAAACTAAAAACTTATATAATTTCAGCTTATGATACTGTGGAAATTATATTTTTAATTTTTAAAATAAAAATATATTTAATACAACGGTGATACAATAATTATAAAAACTTACCGAAATGTTTCTTTTTCTTTTTCAAACTAAGCATGAATAACGATATTTTCCATTTATAAATTTTAATCTTCAAAAAAGGAATTTGATCGGGAAGTATGAGTATTAAGTTTTAATCATGATTCGAATATTTCTTAATCTATTTAATTGTGGGATATGTGTTCATAAACCATAATAAATATTTTGACGAAGTCGAACTATTTCTATTAAGATGACATATCAATTCTCTACGTTACGAAGAGAGTCAATTATAACAAGTGTCACACCTATATTGTAGAAATATGAAACACAAATAAATTTTGTGGTCAAACTACCACGACTGAGTAGAAGAGAAATCCGAGCTCTAAATGAGACATTTTGTATTGAAAATAAAAGTTAATAGTTTGGAATAGATTTTTTTGTTAGACGTCTGGAATTAGATAAACATTTTATTAAGACAAATATGAAATCAGTAAAGAACAATCATTCATATAGATGGTTTTTTGCATAATGAATTCACATATTAATGAACTCTATAGAAGGGTTATCTATTAGAACAATATTCTTGCCGGTCTATTAGCAACAAGTGGGTATACATTTAGAGAATTAGTAAAATGTGTATGAAAAAATTGGTACGAGATGACACTAATACACTCCTTGATAATGGAATATCTAGACAATCAATGAGTGACGATAATAAATTTTAGAAATCATTTTTTCTATTATAATTGAAGGCAAAGAGAAAAAATTCACAATACTTTGATTGACAAACGAGTTGATTATACATATTAGATAAAAAAATATCTAAATATGAATCCGTGAAATGTAACACGGCAACATATGAGTTTGAATTCGAATTATCGATAAAGTATCAATTCATATCCAACTAAACAAATTCATATCAAAATCTGATCCAGACTTAATCGTGGGCCCTTAACTTGAAAGAATTGGTTTTCCTTGATCTTCTTAATTCACCCGTAGGTAATATATATACAATATTACAAACTAAAGTCTGGCTACAGTTATGCGTACAAGCTATAAATATGGCAATTATACCACTGACCAAATCAGAATATACATATTTTAAAAATAGAAGATTAGATATTCTAGTATAATCTTAATACCCCCCTCAAGTTGAAGCATGTTGATCACAAATGCCCAACTTGCCAAGTAGATACAGAAACTTGCGCTTGCCAAGAGCCTTGGTAAAGATGTCGGCAAGCTGATCATCAGTAGACACATGATACGTAGAAATAATACCGTCACGAATGGCATCACGCACATAATGACAATCAACTTCAATATGCTTGGTACGCTCATGGAAGACAGGACTTTGAGCAATATAGAGTGCCAACTGACTATCACAGTATAAGCGCATGGCTGGCGAATGTGTGATACCCAAACTCACAAGCAAAGCTTTGAGCCATTTCAATTCTGAAGTGACGGTAGCCATGGAATGATACTCGGCTTCAGCAGAAGACCGGGACATCGTATGTTGTTTCTTGGTCTTCCAAGAAATCGGAGAAGTTCCAAGAAACATTATCCAACAAGTAAGAGACCGTCTAGTCAAAGGACACATAGCCCAATCTGAATCGCACCAACCTGTCAGAGATAACTCACAATCAGTGCGAAGAAGAATGCCTTGACCCGGACACCCTTTTAAGTAGCGAACCGTACGAAGCGCCGCATCCCAATGATCCTGACGAGGGTGTTGCATAAACTGAGCCAAGATATGAACTGTATAAACCAAGTTAGGACGAGTGGAGGTTAAGTAAATGAGACGACCCACAAGTTGTCTATACCTTTCAGGATCGGCGAGCAAAGGGCCTTTGGCGAGAGCCAATGTGTGATTTTGCTCCATGGGAAAGCCAACGAGACGAGACCCCAATAAGCCAGTTTCAGCAATAAAATCAAGAGTGTATTTTCGTTGACACAAGAAGATGCCTTCGGAATTACGAGCAACCTCAATACCAAGAAAATACTTCAAGGCACCTAAATCTTTCATATGGAAACACTCGTGCAAATAGGCCTTGAAATGGTCAACAACGGAAGCATCATTACCAGAAATAATGAGATCATCAACATATACAAGGACATTAAGTTGTACCGATCCCTGATGTAGAGTAAACAAAGAATAATCTGAATAAGATTGAAGGAAACCATAAGTCTTCAAAGAAGCAGCTAACTTAGCATACCAGCACTGCAGAGCCTGTCATAGACCATACAAAGACTTCTTGAGATGACACACTAAACCAGGAGTGCGAACTTTGAAGCCAGGAGGAAGTTTCATGTAAGCTTCTTCATCAAGATCACCATGTAGAAACGCATTATGAACATCCATCTGATGCAAAACTCAATTCTTGACCGCTGCAACTACTAAGAAGGCACGAACAGTGACCAGTTTCGCAACTGGAGCAAAAGTTTCATTATAATCAACCCCCTCAACTTGATGATTGCCAAAAATAACCAGACGAGCCTTAAGATGCTCTACTTGCCCATCCGCATGATATTTGATTTTGTATACCCATTTAGAACCAAGAGCCTTTTTATGAGGAGGTAAAACTGTCATTTCCCAGGTGCCATTAGCTTCTAAAGCAGCAATTTATTTCTGCATAGCCTTGCGCCAACCTTCATCTTGCATAGCTTCTTTAAAAGAACGAGGCTCAATACCTTCAGTGATCACTATAAGAAAAACACAGTGTCGTGGAGAAAACTTATTACAATTCACATAATGTGTTATATGATAAGGAGTACCTGAGGAGCTAGTAGAAGACGATGAACACTCAGATGGACTCAAAGATTGTACAGTGTGGGTAACAAAGTCACGAAGGGACGCTTATCCCGCAACCCACGCCCTAAGTCATCGGTGGAGGCAGGAGGAGACAGAAGTGCAGGGGGCACATGAGGCGATGTGGGATTCAGCGCAATGTCAATCCTAATCGCAGGGGCCGCATGATCATCAACCAAAGCAGACTCCAAGTCTTCCAAAAAATCAACATCAATCCCCACATTAGAATCAGGTGGCGACGAGGAATAAGCATGCACTTGAGAAGTAGAAACAATCTTGTAAGGAAATTCATTTTCATGAAACTTTACATCTTTGGAAACAAAGATGTCACTTGTCTGAAGGTCATATAACTTCCACCCTTTCTTCCCATGTGGATAACCAATAAAAACACACTTCCTACTTCGAGAAGCAAATTTATTACCTTTGGCCTTTTGATTGTGGGCAAAAGCTAAACAACCAAATACCTTAAGTTCATCAAACTCAGGTGCCTGGCCAAAGAGAATTTCAAAGGGAGTTTTATTGTGGAGTAAACCAGAAGGAGTTATGTTAATGAGATACACTGCACCAAGCACACATTCTCCCCAAAAAGTAATAGGAAGATTGCCTTGAAACATCAAAGCACGACCCACATTAAGAATATGTTGATGTTTTCGTTCCACACGACCATTTTGTTGAGGAGTCCCAACACAAGAGGTTTGAAAAATAATGCCATGTGTATCAAAATAATCCAACATACATTTAAACTCCGTACCATTATCACTCTGTACTAATTTGACATGTGTTTCAAACTGGCGGGCAATCATAGCGAAGAATGAACAAAAAACTTGATAAACTTGTGTTTTTGAACGCAATAAATAAACCTATACAGCTCTTGAAAAATCATCCACCAAAGTCAAAAAATAATGTGCTCTACACGAAGAGGGTATCTTATTTGAGCCCCATAAATCACAACGAATAAGTTCAAAGATTCGACTAGCTTTACTATCACTAACAGGAAAACTATCACTTTTTTGCTTTGCTTGAGGTCAAACTTCACATGCTTTATTCAATTTCTTTCTAGAAGTACTAGAAGAAATAGCCGGAACTAACTTGACGACTCTATCTGACAGATGCCCCAGACGACGATGCCAAAACTCAAAATCTGAAATCTCTGGAACCGTTACCGCACACATTGTAGGAATCCGCTGAAAATAATAGAGTCCATCTTTACGTTCACCGGCTCCAATTAGACTCCCCGAGCGTAGGTCCTGTATAGCACATAATGAATCAATGAATTGTAAAAGACATTTTGAATCATCAATTAATTGTGACACCGAGATTAAGTTGCAATGTAACTGTGGTACAAATAAAACATGTTCAAGTATCAACCCATCAGTCAACAAAACGTGGCCAGCTTTAGTAGCAATGGCATGTGCACCGTTAGGTAACCCAACTGAACATTGCGAAATATGATGAGTGTCCGTCAAACATGATTCAGTGCCAGTAACATGGTGAGAAACACTAGTATCAATAATTCAGGAAAAATAAGAGAACTCACCCATCATCTGATCATGCTGGCGATTATTTATCATATTCAATAAAATCTGAACCTGCTCCGGTTTTAAGTCAGACAAAGAAATGCTAGAGAACCCATGAGAGGAGGCCACTGAATCGGTCCCCCCACCAGCCACAGCATTGGCAGCCACGACCGTGGTGGCCACGGCTTTGGGCCGACCACGAGGAACAGTCAGAGGAGCCGCAGGAAGTGGTTGTGCACTGCCTTGGACTCCACGGTTCCGATCTTCCCACCAATCCGGATATCCATGCGTTTTGAAACAAGTATTGTCATCATGACCCGATCACTTACAAACAGAACAATACAATTTTGATTTATCGGGACGGGTAAAACGAGCCTTGGGTCGTGCAGTTTGTAGAGCAAACACATGGATTTCCTCCTTGTCCGCTCTATCTCGAGCAATACCCGAGACTTTTCTTCCCGAAGACATGCTTGATACACACGATCGAGATCAGGTAAAGGAGAAATGGACAACAAATTAGAACGTACCGTTGCATATAACTCA